GAATTTATTGTATGATTGCAAATAATCACATTCACAGTAAGAAGTTTGTTTGTTTGAGAAAAAAAATGTAATCACGTGCCTTACATTTTTTCATCACAACGGTCAAAAATGTCTAAGTTTAAATTTTTTTATGAAATTCTACTAGTGTATAACCAGTCTTCACCCTAACACCCAAAGCCCTTCTCAAGGCAAATTTCCCCAACCTCCCTCAATTTCACCAATCCCTTTACAATGCTCTGTTAAGACTTTCTACTGACCCCAAAGTATAGGTCCAGAAGAGAAAAGACTTGAGATTGGGGGTGGGGATATTTTTTGTTGGTGTTTCCAGTCTGGTCTTCAACTTTAACCCTTCATATTTACTGTAATCCAAAAATTAACCTCACACTCAGTCCCTAATTGTAAACTTGACCTCAGAACCCAGGGGTTCTTCACCTTTTTACAATTACAGATACCCAATAGATTGCCCGTAATGTCCTAGTGTCTCCCTCACCTTTCATAATCATCATCCTGTTAGGTCAGCCCTGTTAAGTACCTGTTATCGCAAGTCCTATTAGGTACTACTATGGCTTCAAATTATGTCAATAGGCCAGTTTTATTTTACACATGGACAATTAGAAAAGGAACAGCTAAAAGAAAATCAGAAAGGTTTGATTGTATTTTTTATATGAAAGGGAAAATGACAAATACACAAGCTAGTTACAACTACTGAGAAATTTGTAGTTGTTAAGGTCCATGTACTGGCAATGCTCATCGCATGTTCTCTGACACATCAAGTTGATTTCACCACTTTGATCTCAGGTTGGATAATGGAGAAAATCTTGTGTTTTTCATTGATTCATAGGTCCGGTTCCATACCACCCTTAGTTAGTTGTCATGCCCAATCCAAAATATGGATTCCCCAGGTTAAAAGCCCCAGCTTTAATTATTGACTCTAACTCTACATACTTAAACTTAAATTTAAACTTTTTGTCTGCTGGAACTGTCATCAGGAATAGAATACAGACTTTATGTGTGCAACATTAAAAATCGTCATGTGCACCCCAGCAGTGTATGTGATTTATTATGCAAACCCAGTTTTTTGCAGGTGAAATTGAGCTATGTCCTGATACTTCCCATCTCCATAGGCCTATAGGTAAAAGCCCGGTGTCTCTAGTTTTGGGGAATGTCTGACTGACTACTTTCAGGATTAAGTGATCGGGGCCATTCAACACAAACCTTAAACAGGGTTTGGATTCTTTGGAGGAATGAATGGTTGGGAAAATATCGAGTGGGGGACTATCTGTCCAAAAAAGGTAAAGTCACGTAATTAAAATATTTAACAAAGTAGATCTAAACCCTAACGGGATGACATGATTTTCCTTTTATTTTACTTTCCTTGCCTTAATGGAAAGAGTCAGGAGATCCTAAACTTAGAGTTGCACTTTAAAATATATCTTGTAGTACCTTCCTTGGTAGATGCTAGGATTAGTTATGTTTTTATAGGCAGTTGTAGGCAGAGTGGCTGTAATCTTTGTTAGGTAAAAGTATAGTTAGCTCACTGTACAGAGTGAGTGGTGATAATTTAATGAGGTCTACTTTGTGTGCTCAAGTGCTGCTAGTCTGCCTAGCTTCTTCTGTATCCAGGAGACTGCAAAACGTTCTGGAAGATAGGTGAGGAGCTATGCATGAATAATAATACAGCTTCAGCCTATCCCATTGTGAGAGGCTCCAAGGCATATTGGCTAACTATATATATTTACTGAGCTCACAGAGCTTTGGGTCATTCCTGGCTAGGATTGCCCAAGCTTGGGAGAGGGCCATTTGCCCTCCCAGGCAGCTGCTGCCATAGGCCTCTGCTGGGCTACATGAGGGCCTGAATTGCTGAGACCCGGTTCTATGCGGACTGAGCCAGCTAAAGGTCTGGTATCACGGAGGAAGGTGTCCAGTTACTCTTGGGCCTTTTGAGTACAGACATTCCTAAGTATTTTAGAGACTGTGTGCTGTTTAAGCCCCTCTGGTGCTAGGAAGCCATCTGCGGGTTTAGAAAAGAGCTGTGTCCTACAGCCCACTACTACTTAAAGGGACATTGCTCTGGGCTCTAAAGAAGATACTACTTGCTGTTACTGATTAAAGCTGAAGTTTACGGTTTCATTCAAACACAGTCCCAAATATAGCTTGTTCTGAAGGTTAGCCAAAGTCCTCAGTGTACATACTTCCTGATCTGGAGTATCCCACTACTCATCTCCCTCATCCCCATCCCTATTCTTCAAAAATAAAAACAACAAAAATGAAACCCTTAGACTGATTTTGGGAGAAATTAGTGAATGAGCCTATGTGCCTGGCTGCAGGGCAAGGTATTCAGGGAGGACCTGAACAGTGTTCTTGCGGCTCCTATGGGAGTAATGCTACAATCTACAAACAAACATTTGTTTTGGTGTTGGATAGAGTAAGGAATGGTTATAACATCTGCCAGTTGTTTTTGTTTTTTTGGTATCTCATTTTGGAGAGTTCCATTCTAGTTTAATTTTTTTGAAAGAAAACCTCATCAAAGCAAGTGAAAATCCCCTCTTAGACAGGTGAAAAGATATCCCTGTAGTCAGATTTCTCCTCTATTCCTGTACTGTTTTTGTGACAATACACCCTGTTCCAAATTATTATGCAAATGATATTTTTCTCATTTACCTAAATAATTGATGTAAATAACAGTCAGCATAATTCTCATGTTATCAACTATTAAGAGTACAATTCAAATTTTATTGAACAAACCTCCTAATGATAACAGTATTTTTTTTAAACATAAAAAACTTACAATGCACTGTTCCAAATTATTACGCACAGTAAGCTTCAAAACACTTTATAGGTTGTAAAGAACTGAAAATTGTCATTTGTTGTGTTTGCAGCATATTTACTGAAATCAAAAGCTATTTCAATCAAACTTTTAACATTTTAACTTTTTAAACATTTTAACAGGTCACGTTACATTTTAACATTGGACCCCTTATTTGATAGCAGCTTAACAAGTCTTGCATCCATTGAACTTGTGAGTTTTTGGACAGTTTCTGCTTGAATTTGCTTGCAAGATGTCAGAATAGCCTCCCAGAGCTGCTGTTTGGATGTAAACTGCCTCCCACCCTCATAGATCTTTTGCTGGAGGATGCTCCAAAGGTTCTCAATAGGATTGAGGTCAGGGGAGGATGGAGGCCACACCATGACTTTCTCTCCTTTTATCCCCATAGCAGCCATTGATGCAGAGGTATTCTTTGCAGCCTGAGATGGTGCGTTGTCATGCATGAAGATGATTTTATTACGGAAAGCATAGTTCTTCCTTCTGTACTAGGGAAGAAAGTGGTCAGTCATAAACTCCACACACTTTGCAGAGGTCATCTTTACACCTTCAGGGACCCTAAAGGGGCCGACCAGCTCTGTTCCCATGATTCCGGCCCAAAACATGACTCCACCACCGCCTTGCTAATGTTGCAGCCTTGTTGGAACAGGGTGGCCGTCCACCAACCATCCACTACTCCATCCATCTGAACCATCCAGGGTTGCACGGCACTCATCAGTAAACAGGACTGTTTGAAAATTAGTCTTCATGTATTTTTCTGCCCAATGCAGCCATTTCTGCTTGTGAGCATTGGTTATTGGTGGCCGAATAGAAGGCTTATGCACAGTTGCAAGACTCTGGAGGACTCTACACCTTGATGTCCGTGGGACTCCAGAGGCACCAGGAGCTTCAAATATCTGTTTGCTGCTATGTAATGGAATTTTAGCAGCTGCTCTCTTGATCCGATGCATGGACCTGGCAGAAATCTTCCTCAATGTGCCTTTATCTGCATGAACCCGTCTGTGCTCTGAATCAGCCACAAATCTCTTCATAGTGCGATGATCACGCTTACATTTTCGTGAAATATCTAATGTTTTCATACCTCGTCCAAGGCATTGAACTATTTCACTCTTTTTGGCAGCAGAGAGATCTTTTTTCTTCCCCATATTGCTTGAAAATGGTGCTCTGCTTAATAATGTGGAACACCCTCCTTTAGTAGTTTTTCCTTAAATTGGGCTCACCAGCCAATCTAATTATCACAGGTGTCCGAGATTGTTTTCAATGATCAAAAGAGCCCTGAGACACAATGCCATCCATGAGTTAAACTGAAAAACAAAATATTTAATCTTTGAGATACTTAAATAGAATTTGCATAATAATTGGGAACAGGGTATAGTTATCAGTACAAAAAGAATAGGTGATAAAGTGGCCATAAACAGAATAAAAACTTGACAGGGATTCTAACACTTTCACACTTTCTAAACCAAAAAGAAAAAGTATAGACTAAAGCCTGAACTCCAGCCTTAGCCTGAACTTACCGTAGTTTTCGCTCCATAAGACGTACTTTTTTTTCCCCCAAAAAAAGAGGGGAAAATGTCAGTGCGTCTTACGGAGCGAATATAAAGCGGTATTTCAGTATGTCAGAATACCGGACCAGCCGCTCAGCTGTTCTCTGATGCAGGACCTTGCCTGTTCCTCGGTCCAGCGCTGCACAGTCTTCCCACGCCGGCATCTGCGACAGCCGGGTGCCCACTGCGCATGCAGGAGAAGCGCTGCGCTTTGTGAATGGTCTGGCATATTCTGGGACACATGAAAGGTCCCAGAAGACGCCGGGCCATTCACAAAGTGCAGCGCTTCTCCCGTATGCGCAGTGGGCACCCAGCTGTCATAGCCGGGTGCCCACAGTAAAGGAAGGACAACTCCACGGAAGTGGGAGTGTTTACCTGTCAAATTCAGGTACCCACTCCCCCCCTCCCCCCCTCCCTCCCTAAAGGTCCGCAGTCTCTGGTCATCCCCTGTACTACCTGCAGTCTCTGGTCATCCCCTGTACTGTCTGCAGTCTCTGGTCATCCCCTGTACTGTCTGCAGTCTCTGGTCATCCCTTGTACTGTCTGCAGTCTCTGGTCATCTCCTGGACTGTCTGCAGTCTCTGGTCATCTCCTGTACTGTCTTCAGTCTCTGGTCATTCCCTGTACTGTCTGCAGTCTCTGGTCATCTCCTGTACGGTGTCCGCACTCTCTGGTCATCCCCTGTACTGTGTCCGCAGGCTCTGGTCATCCCCTGTACTGTGTCCGCAGTCTCTGGGCATCCCCTGTACTACGTCCGCAGTCTCTGGTCATCTCCTGTACTGTGTCCGCAGGCTCTTGTCATCTCCTGTGTACTGTGTCCACAGTCTCTGGTCATCTCCTGTACCATGTCTGCAGTCTCTGGTCATCCCCTGTACTGTGTCCGCAGGCTCTGGGCATCCCCTGTACTACGTCCGCAGTCTCTGGTCATCTCCTGTACTGTGTCCGCAGGCTCTTGTCATCTCCTGTACCGTGTCCACAGTCTCTGGTCATCTCCTGTACCATGTCTGCAGTCTCTGGTCTTCTCCTGTACTGTGTCTGCAGTCTCTGGTCATCTCCTGTACTGTGTCCACAGTCTCTGGTCACCTCCTGTACTGTGTCCACAGTCTCTGGTCATCTCCTGTACTTTGTCCGCAGTCTCTGGTCCATCTCCTCTACTGTCTGCAGTCTCTGGTCATTTCCTGTACTGTGTCTGCAGTCCATTGGTTCAGAATATTTTTTTTCTTGTTTTTCTCCTCTAAAACCTAGGTGCGTCTTATGGTCAGGTGCGTCTTATGGAGCGAAAAATACAATACCTTCAGGGTCCTGTCTTGAACTGAACAGTATAAATTAGTACATCCCAACAGATTTCTTTCCTTTCAGAATCAACATTTGCTATGGGACACTATACTACAAAATACTCCCACAAATGCGGGCCATTGATTGCAAGCAAGGTTTGTAATTTCTGTGCAGAAAAATCCCCTTATTCAAAAATAAATACACTTACTACTATAAGTACCTTCGTGCTTACACATACACAAAACAAAAGGTCGAGGGTCGAGTCTGGAAGGTGAGAGGCTAATTCAGCCGGTGATCGGATTGTTTGTTTAGTCATCAAATCACGTTTGAACACAAATATCAGCACGAGTTGTTTTTGTTCACTGAAGTATGATTATTAGGAGTTTGGACTTTAAAAACGCATGAAAATAGATTATTATGTGTATATTATGTCACTAATAAGAAGACACATTTTTTGCACATGAGGTTTTATATTCACTTTATGGGATTTGTGTAGATATATATATACATATATTAGTGCACATTGTGTGTTTATATATTTTTTGTTTGATTATGCACCATTTTTTAGTCAATAAGACTGGTTTTTCACTATCACTATAGGAATTTTGTTTTGTGTATGTGTAAGCACGAAGGTACTTATAGTAGTAAGTGTATTTATTTTTGAATAAGGGGATTTTTCTGCACAGTGATTTATTTGTACATTAAGTGACTAGCGCCACATTTTGTTTTATACTTTATTTTGATGATCATTGGATATATGATGTTATGTTGGCAGCTTCTCGCCATTAATATTATTGTTTGATATTAGTCTGAGCGCAGGAGGTTCACACCACTAAGGTTTGTAATTTGCACACACAAAAAAGTATTTTTCCTAACAAATTCATTCAAGACCATGTTGCAAAAATGATAACACCCCAATGAAAGTCTTAAGAGCAAAGCTAGATTTTAGACAACAAAATCCTAATCAGCAGACACCTGATTATAAAAGGGGGCTACTTAACAAAGAAAACTCCTTCCCATTTCATGAGAACAAAGGAAGTCCCATGGGCTGCACTCCAAACAATCCACTCTTTTGAACCAGGCTAAAACCAATACAGACAGTAGAAATACAGTGGGGGACTGGCAGGTAAATACATTTCACACTGAAGATAGCGCTTATTCATTACTCCCTTCCCATTTTATGATGTCAGCAATGGCACCACATGGAAGAGAAATATCACAAGGCCTGAGAAAGAAAATAATTTCTTTACACAAGAAAGGTGAAGACTAAAAAGATCAGCAAAGCTTTAATTATCAAAATACTGTAGCAAAAGTAATACAAAAATGTAACAAAGATGGAACTGCAACCATCTCACAGAGACATCCAGGTCATCCATGGAAGTTAATACCTCGACAGGAGCATCTTCTGATGAGAAGGGTTGAAGAAAATTGCCATGCAAGTGCACTGCAGTAGCTAAAGAAGTAGAAAGGCAAACTGGGGTGATTGTTTCCCATGACACAATACAGCATACACTGCAGAGGACTGGCATGCATGGGTGTTAGGCACAAAGGAAGCCTCTGCTAAAGCCCATGCACAAAAAAGTCTGCCTAGATTTTTACAGGGCCCATGCTGGAAAAGAAGAAGGCTACTGGAACTCTGTACTCTAGGGTGATGAGACCAAGATAATTGTTTTTGGAACTGATAGCTTCAAAAGTGGATGGCATCACAAAGGTGAAGAGTACAAAGAAAAATGCATGATGCCTACAGTGAAACATGGTGGTGGCAGTGTCCTTCTGTGGGGCTGCATGAATGCTGCTGGTGTCAGGGAGCTGCATTTCATTGATGGTATCATGAATTTACAGATGTACTGCTCTATATTGACAGATGCTACTATCACTCCATGCCCTTTTTCGTCGTGCACTTTTCCAACATGATAATGATCCCAAAAACACATCTAAGGCCACTGTAGTATTTCTGAACAAGAACAGAGTGAACGTGTTTCAGTGGCTAAGTATGTCTGATTTGAACCCATTCGAACACCTATGGGGAATTCTGAAGAGACAAGTTGAACATCACTCTCCATCCAGCATCCAGGCTAAAACAGGTTGTTCTTGAAGAATGGAAAACTATAGATGTAGCAATATGTCACCAATTTGTCCATTCCATGCCTAGAGGACTTGGTGCTGTCCTTATAAATCATGGAGGTCATACAAAATACTAGATGGAGTAGTTTTTGTTGTGGGGTGTATTCATTTTTGCATCATCTAATTTGAGTAAAAGTGAAGATTTTGTAATCTAAGTTATATTATTAACCAGGCTTTCATGTAATGAGCTAAATGCATGTTCTATAAAACTCAGTTTTGTAAAAATTTTGGAAATTGTTCTTGCGTTCATTGAGATACTGATGAAAATCTTACTTTTCAAAAGACGTGTACTAATTTATGCTGAGCACTGTATGTATAATCTGATTTCACTAAGCTGCTCATAGTGTGCATTAGAGGTTGTATCAAATCTAATAGAGCCTGCCTCATTTCCTGGCTTGAGTACATCCTGCCTTATCTTGTCTTTTCCTTCCCAGCTGAACTGTCTTTGTCCTGCCCTATTAATTCATTAGATTTTAGTTCTTTTAATCATTGATCCTCAGCATCACATGTGGGCATTACCAAGGGTGGTCTTCTCATTATAGGAAGCTACTGTAGGTGCAGCCATTCTCACCAGCCATGATGTGCCTACATTACGTAGAGGAGCACAGAGGCCCAGCTATTACTGGGTCTAAAATAAGGTATGTAATGAAATCAGAAAGCTTGTATTTAATAATGCTGTTAGCATATTGATGAAGAGTGGAGAAATGAACCAAGAAGACCAAAGTACCAGAAGGAAAAATATAGGCAGATTAAACCTCAGCTTTGGATGTTAGAAGCTTAATTCTTCTCACTAAAATTAGATATGCTAACCAAATGTTCATGTTAAATAGCTATCTCCAACCACGTCGCCTCAGTTTGTTCTGTTAATACAAACATAAAAGGCCTTTCCACTACCCTCATCTACCTCTGCCTATCCCAAATCTCTCTGAGTGTTAATCGATTTCACAAAGAAATTACAACAATTTTAAATGCAAGTATTATACTATAAAATTGTAATTCTAAGTAAGTCGAGGCATATCCCTTTATAAACAAAGTTTAATTTTAAGCCATGGCATCAAGTAGGATTACTTATAGCTCTTTAACTACAAAGCTCAAAGAAAGTACGACATTAATTGTAAGAAAGACAAATTTAGCAGGAAAGTATGCTATGATTATAGAAGGAAATCTCTAATTAGGACTAATTTCTTCAACACATGCCAGGATCTCTGTTTGCATCTGATAGTGAGACCTAAAACAGTTACAGGTATTGCATGCTACAAATTACAAATATACATTCCCAAGTAGCTTCCAGACCCTCACTTTTGGCAGGCAAGTAGATCTCTCCACTCAGACACAAGGACAATCGGGCAGTACACATGGTCTGAATTTATGGGTCATAATAATAGTCTTCACTTTCAGGTATATGTAGCGCTCAGCCCTGGAGGGGCTGCTGAGAGGATGCAGGATACTCCAAAGTAATTAGAAATCAAGAGAAAGACAAACTTCTTAGCACTAATCCTATAGCAGCAGGCTTGTAGACAGGTGCGGTCTGTTTTCTCCACTGTAGGTGGTCCTTGATCTGAGTGGCACCACAGCTTGGAGAGGAAGCCAAAAGTGAAATTCTTTATGGTTTCTTGTGTTAATGGAGCAGCCTTCCCATACTGCAACCATGTGACCCTTGTCGGCCATTTTCGGTCATCAGGGTCTATATACTGTAAGTCCCTGCCCCCAGGTTTTGGCACGCATTTTGCAAGTGGCTAGGGTAGGGAGGGAGACCCTGCTGGTTAGGGAAAGTCATTACCTATAGGGAACATTTCCTGATGATAATGAACAGGCTAGGGACCTCTACCTGGAAGGAAGCCTCCCTGTTTGGTATCAGACCGTCCAGGACACACCTCAACGTCTGCAACAGACACTGTCGGCAACTCTCCTCAGCCATGTTTTTGACTGCGTTGAACTGTGAGTTGTTTCCCTAAGTGGCACTCTCCCTCTAGGGTGTCTGTATGTTGACATTCTGCTCAATACAAGTTTCAGTTTTAATGCAAATGGACTCTGTGTGCACTACCATCGCCACCATGCTGCACATCCCCACAAGCTCTTGTGAAAATCACATACTCAGGTCTTATTTACAATGTCCCAAGAGCTGTCTGCCACCCAGCTTCCACACAACACTCTTCAGTGAGGGAAACAAAAGAGTCCTTCTCCAGACCCAGACTCCCATGCAATGCCCTCCAGCAGATTACTTTAATAAACTTTTCCAGGTCCTCGGCCCAACACCAGCTGAGGCCCAAACTGCAACTCGTCTCACTAGTGTTGGGCTCAATGTTCAAGTTGAATACAAGTTCAACTCGAACATTGGCCAAACACAAGAACGGTAAGGGTGTTTCGCCGGCTGTTCGCCTGCTGAGTGACCCACAATGAACTGCACTCTCACAGTGCATTGTGAGAGCCAGGATTGGCCAAAGTCATGGTGAGCCTTATGCAGTGTGTTGCTGGACACCGCCGAAGGCAGAGGGGAGGATACTCTCCCCCAAAGAAACAAAACAAAATAAAAATAACAAAAAATAAAAATAAAAAAAAAAATATATTAAAAAAAAGAAACAGCTTGCCCCCCTAATCCTTACCAGGCCCCTTAAGTGCGTGGGGTTCCCCCTAAAAGCCATATTAGGCCCTTTAGACTTGGTAGGACGTTTAAGCGCATCCCCACCTCCCAAAAATGGGGGGGAAAGTGCCTGTGGTTTCCTTCTAAAAGCCATACCAGGCTCCTTAGGCCTGGTATGGCTTTTAAGGGGAACCCCATCCCCAGAAAATGGGGGAAAAAAAAGCATGGGGTCCCCTCTAAATTTCTATCATACCCTTGATCCGAGCACAGGCCTGGCAGGGAAGGAAAGGGGGGGGGGGAGGATCGAGGACTTCTCCCTCCATGCGTCTTACCAGACGACGTGCCCTCAGAATTGGGACAGTGTCCCCATGATAATGGGGAC